TCAAAGTCAAGAAACTTGACTCCGAGGTCCACAGGGACCTTCGGGACCGTGACACGTGGCCTCGTCGCAAACCGAACAGTGACGATATCACCCAACCCCACTTTCAACGCCTCAGCATAGAGCTGACTTCCTTCCGAGGAGCGTCGAGCATAATTGCCCGACGTCCCGGAATCGATGAGGACCTTCCATGGCATCTCGAATCACTTTACGATCGCCTCCACGACCAGCAAGCCCGGCTTGCATACTCATTCCGTGTTCAAGAGCACGGAGCTCCTTGGGCTGGGCCCTGGTGACTATGCCTCCATGAGGCTCAACAGAGCTCAGTTGTTCTCCATAAGGTCACTTCGCGCCTACTGAGTGGTGTCGTTTCCCCGCGACGAACCAAACTGGTAGGCGTTGGGGTGATGGCTCGAAGAACCTTGACGTGCCTTACGCAGGAGTCAACCGTTCCACAGGTGACGGGTGTCTCCACAGACAGAACACCGTCGTGTGTTTGTGCGCTGCCCGGTGGCTCGAAGCTCTGCTCCCTCATCCTCAGCATAGCTAAGATCCATGGGCACAGGCCCGCTCGACGAGCTGCTAACGTGTGCATTTCAGCTAAGTCGTGCCGACTTAAAGTTGAATTCGGTATTCAATGCCACATTCACTGCCTCTTCAAACGAAGATGGATGCACACGGAAGATTTCAATTCTGGCCACGCCAGTGTGGAGGCCTTCCATAAAGACGGTCACTATGACCGCCTCCGGAAGGGGATCTGCTGCCGTCCCGGCAGTGAGAGTGCGCATCTCTTGGACAAAGTCCACCAATTCCCTGTTGCCCTGTCGGGCGACAAGGAAGCGCGATCGTATGCGATATGCCGATAAGGCGGCGAGAACACTTGTGAGAGCTGCAACATCAGCTCCGCACAGGAGGAAAATACAGCTTCGAGCGAAGTGCCGCACGTCAGTGCCCATTCTCGCGCTCGACCACCGAGCTTTAAGCTGGCTAGCGCTACGCGCTGTTGCTCGGTCTGGAGCGTGGACTCGATGGCCATCTCGACCTCTCTTACCCAGTGCAGAAGGTTCTCTCCTCAAAGACCTTAATGCTCACCATGAGCAGCTTAGGGCGGGGAAATTCATCCGTCACCAACGGTGGCGTCATAGACGCAAACGATGCAGACATCTTCTGCCGCAGATGCTCTAACAGCGCGTTTTCGTAGCATGAAAACGCCTCTAGACGCGCACCGATTGCCTCGGGGCCTTGTGCTACAAGGCGTTGCACGCCCCAGAGCCAAGCAAGTACATTAGCTTGTTAAGACCATCCTGCATACCCTGGGGCAAAGAGGAAAATTCTTTCATCCTCACAGAGGACCAGTCTAAACGACGCAGATGTAGATTGATTACAAGTGTTACCAAGTGCAGCGGGGCTGCCGTAGCTTTGCGCTTGAGGAAGCGTAATTTAGGTCACCGACCTTTCTTTCTTTACAAGAATTGATACGAGTGTAGCGGATCGCAATCCGCTAAGTCCAATAATGGTTGCTACTTTAACCAAGGCTAATAAACGCTTCGGTTTAAATTTAATACTGATTTTTATTCGCTTTTATCTGTGGCTAAACCGCCTGAATTTAAATGTATAGATTTTATTAAATATCTATAGTAAAATCAAAATACATGCATAACTACTGGCTACCTAGCCACCTGCCGTCTTTTTGTTTGGGTGCAGACACACCATGCATATCTCGTGTGACACACACCTGTTACCAGAGTACGTGTAACCCCTTTACAGGCAACCTTTTTACAGTATCGTAAATACTACAATACATAAATTCGTATATTTGCTCATCCATCAAAGTACGAAACATCAATCTCAATGTCCTCTTAGCAGACTGGAAGCTGACTAAAGTGAAACCGGAATACAATGTTTGAGTCAATAAGTTAAAATACTCATAATTACTCATCTAAAATTTATTTAAACATTTGTTATTCTTTTGGTAACTTTGCGTACCAATCGCACCAAAAATGAATTATATTGCAAGTATTCTAAATCATGGTACTCAATGTTGTCCGACGGACAATACGGTTATGTGTACAAAACCATTGTATGGTACGTACTCCGTTATTTCGTCGAGACACTCACTTATGCAGTCTAGAGGCATAATATATAGTGAGAGGTCTTGAGGTCCTGGCATATGTCGAAGCTTTATATTCTAAAAGGTAAGCTAAAATAGGGCAGCACGAGGTATTTGGCTTTGTATCAGTATAGAAAAAGGAAGCCTTGACTTCTGTACATAACATATGAAACTAGGGGATCCATGCATATTATAACGGGTATGAATCATTTGTAAGTTTTCTTCATGATGCTTCTATTGTGGTTTGCTATACGAACGCTGATTCTTTACGTGGCTTGCTACATTTCATCTCTCACTCACAACAGTCTTAACTTTTTAAATGATAAGAAAAGCCATGATTGTAGCAATCGTATCTTAGCAGATCGTATGCCAAAGCATCTGCTCGGAACATGTCGCGCGCAGATGTTACTCTATTCTTCGGTCGATAGTCAAACACAGCGTATGGCAGGCAGCAAAGCCATACGGTTTGAAATACAGTATAAACTATTTAGAAATGGCGTGTGAACTGCCCTTCGTCGTAAGTCGTCCTTTCAACTGACACCGATTGTATAAACCTGCTTTTACCCTCGTACTTTGTCGCCCTTCTTGAATTTCCTTTGCTTAATATCACCATTGGCGTCAACAATGATTATATTGCCTCTAGCCAGTCTCCACCTCGGGAAATTATACCTCGAATGTTGCGACCAGGTGCTGGATATACCACGTAAGTGCCTCTTTTGTAAAAAGGAAGATTATCGAAGATCAGCCGCTTAATCGAATCTTTCAAATTGTAGCGAATTACAACAGGAAAACATAAAGAACGTCATTTTTTGTCGGTGAAGCCGTGGTATCATCAGAAGAGTCAAGTGCTTATTCTACAGTCCAGTCGATCCGATAAAAGTTAGTGAGACTCCGACGAGCGATGAAGTTTACCAAGTGTAATGAGGCTATTTGTTATTTTGTGCGACCTCCTTATTGTTCATGGTCGATCATGTGGATGCATTCGTCAAGTTTGTGGATTAAATAATCCTATTTTCCGATTCATAGTGATGAAATGCTATGTATATTATAAGAAGACAAGCGAAAAATTGCGATGAACTGTGTTGACTGCGTCCGATCATCTAATTACCTCTTTGAATCTTTTTTTATGGAATATTGGCAACAAAGCTCTAGATTCGTGCGCTATTCACACTGGATATCTTCCCCTACCGTCCGCCGTACCCACGTCCAAAGATACCAACTGATTTAGCTAATTTTTGTAGATCAAGCATTGCGAAAGGCAGCTGCTGTATTCCCTTGTGTACGTAATGATGTTTGATCTTGGCACTATTTTGGGAAAATTTCTAGCATTGCCTGATTCTAATAAGGTGCTACCTATGTGACACTGCTCTATCCCATGGTCTGCGATCAAGCGGCTCGCAAAAATTTAAATTAGCATTGACGAGAGTCAATCACAATTTTCGTATGAATTTTACATCAATGGCCATTGTACAATCTTTTTTCCGCTTACATCCAGTTCGATAAAAAAAATGGCTTACTAGCGCATGAGACTGGTAAGGTGCTGCACAACATAGAGCCATTATCCGATTCACGGCTCGCATCACAGATCACATTACTTCTTGCTGTCACTCAACGATGCGTACATTCTCGTTCTTGGACTTACTTGCAGCTACACTTGTAGTAAATGGTGCCGTGGTTTTCACGACTGCTATTAACGATGCGCAAGGAACTACTTTCTCGTTGCGGACAAATTCTTTGAATGACGCTCAATATGAAGAAAGAGCAATTGGTATCGGCTCTAGTGTTGAGTCTTCCGGAGCAGTCTCGACATTTTCCAAAAAAGCAAAACGGCAATTTCAAATTGCGCTATCGGACTCCGCTGTGCAGAAGGAAATCAAGAAACTGAACAGTCGAGAATTACCTGATATGTACAACCTCCTCGATACTTTGCGCAATTACGATTTAAGCTGGGATGGTGTAATGGATTTAGAAGAACTCGCAGTGATCAACAAGAATTTGATTTCATTTTACAATAAACAGCATTTTCTCAAAGAACATTCTCCAAACGTACGGAAAGTTGATTCCAAACTGGCCATAGCCATTGCGAATCTCTTCGGTAAACCAAGAAAAACTACCTGATCCTACCGAAAATTGGGAAGAATTTACGTGTACCTGGTCGGAACAATTTGATCCGCAAATATGATTACGCATTTGTCACGTTCAATTTGCCTTATCGCCATTAATTTTCGTTGAAGATAGTAATCGCTTAAAATAAAAAGATTCATATGAGTTGTTCGTTCACGCAAATATGTCGTACAGGTTACAAGAAAGACAGATTGCATACATTGCGAATGGATTGGTGTGCACTTAAAATATAGTCGTGGATTCATAGAGATTTACGAGAGTTTCTAGTATATTTACTTCAGCTCGTTATTACAGCGACTAGGAATAATACTTGCAATTAATTACTTAGATTTCATCCTTGTAAATGGTAAATTCAAAAAAAAAATTCTTAATTGGCAAAAAGGTGTGGTTCTTTTGGTCGATGGGCCGTTAAAAATCGACGAGGATGCCGAAATATTCCCGATAGACTTGGTCATAGTGTCTCTTCGAGTCCTGACGCACAGCTCCGCTCTCACTCAATAGCATACAACATAGCCGCACTTCAAAAAGGAGTCCCTCACTGCACTCCGCCTACTCTCTATATGAGCCACGTGCTCCGTGTTCAATCCATCGACTTGGAGTGATGCGACAACCCACCCTTAAACTCACTATTATGTCATGAGCATTGATGACGAGCTAGATCTGGCTCCGAAGCCCAGCTTTCTCGTCTGCAAGCACTGGAATTGCACCAGCTTTGCCCACATTATCACGTCGAAACAACAATTTAAACCGACTAAAGTTGCTCACTGCGGTGATTCATATGATGATGGATGGGGTCAAGATATCAAGTAAATTACCGCTGAATTTCGTAGTGTGACGACATATGGTATAACCGTCAAATAAAATCTAAATAACACCAATTTAAAAAGAAAGCGTTGTTTGCCTCCACCCTATTCCTCCCATCAAAACTTCACCCATGAATTAGTCAATTAAATTTTATAAGGAAAATCAATCTTGTTCACACTACAGCTGTTGTATCCAATAATTATTGTATAGTATAATTACATTCGGTTTGAACAAAGTTGCAGAAACAAAAGGCGTAGGCATATGCGCGAGAGAAGACCAAAGAAACGAGACGTCCTAAGAAATAAAAATGATTTTCTCTGCACAGGCTAGTTTCGAAGCAGCACCTGACCATTCTGTTGAGATACACCGCTGAATGTGCGTGGATGACGTCACAATTATTATGATACTGTTTACTGTTACTTTCATGATGTCGGATGTCGATTCTGGACATGATGGTAGTCGCTCTTTGGTCTAATAAACAGCGTTTAGAGGCTTCTCGAATGATTTAGATGAATAGGCTTAGATGTAGCACAGGGTAGAGAATTTAGGACCCAAAAATATATACTTCGGTTTTTACCAACAAACCAACAGGTTAACAGCCGCACCTAGAAATCTACTCAGCATGCTTCACCCTAATAGCTATGATGTCCAAGCAAACCAAAGTCCTCCTAGGCAGTGGGGACTATTTCATTGGGAGCTTGACATGCGCAAGACGCTGGCGCGAAAGGGTGTGTTGGCGCTCCTTCAATTTGTCAAGAGGGAAGAGGAGATGGCAGAACTTGGCTGTTCAGTGATCCTAAGGCACTAAGGACCACCGCCCAGGGTATAGCTACAGCGCCAGACTAAAATTTGGTCTACGTCGGCGGCTATGCACGCTTGAAACATTTTACGAGTTTCTACAATCGGATCACGCTTCACAAACGTGTCGAGATGACGCGCCGCCCGCATGAGCTCAAGGTGGAGATTGGCTCGACTATGTACAAGCATCGGAATACGTTTGGTGAACATGTTGTCTGACTTCAGTCACTTGGAGAGCCTGTTGACGAATCGCGACAGCTAGTGGTACTACTGAGCAGTCTTCCGACAGATTATGAGCTAAATTGTGTCAATTGTGGAAAATCCCAAGGACATCACGCTAATCGAGATCAAGTGATTGCTGTTGAAGGACGATGAGTGGTTGCAAAAGAAGGAGGCGACAGATAAAGCGTTTCCTCTTCACGAAAGCGGTGGGCGGTTTTAAATCAATCGTGGGCCTGTACGGAAAGATTACGACCCAAGGAAGAGTGATGGTGGCTTCTAAGGAAAGTGCTTCAAGTGTAATCGAGTTGAACACATTAAAATGAAACTGCCTAAGCAGAAGCGATGGCATTGATGAAGACGGGGTATTCCTTGTTGGCGAATATCGGATTGATGGATGGCTGATCGATAGCAGTGCAACATCGCATATGACACCATACTATGTAGATCTATTTGATTTTGATGATACGATCTTGGGAATGTATGTGACCATTGCAGACGGCGAAAAATTGTGTTTTCTTGGTAAAGAAACTATCCAGCTGACTGGAATGGACGGTAAGCACATTAAATGGTATGTAAATTCCAGCTATCGGTTGGAAAACTTGCAGAATGTGGGTTCGTGTGGAGTTTCAGCAATTGTCATGTGAAATCTGAGGCAAGAACAAGGCCTTGGCTTTGGACGGAAAGGCGGCAAAGGTTTTGTTCTTAATTGCAAGCCTTAAGACGTGCGCTTTGTAGAGTTTGCCGGAGCTGACAATCAGTGGGAGCAGTGACACACACGCATGAGTTCTCAGGTGAGAGCGTCAGGGTCAAAACTCAGCATGTCATGCATGGTATGCTAGCTTTACGCCGTGGTATCAAGACTATATGCAATGGATGTATGAAGGGTAAGAAGACCTTATCGCCGTTTGTTGTACAATCGATGCCCAGGACATCGCGTGTTGGAGTTAATTCATACGGCTGTGATGGAACCCAAAACGGTATCACAAGAAGGAGCAAGATATGTGCTAACGTGGATGATCTTTCACGTTTTGTGGTTACTCACTTCCTAGGAGTGAGGTCGTCGCGAAGCTCGCCGAATATAAGGCGTGTTTTAAAAGCAATGAAGAGAGAAAATTAAATGCAGTTGCCCAGAAAATAGAACGAAATTTGTGAGAGAGAAGGCGCTCCCGGATGGTATCATGAATCAACGAACCGTACCTTACAGCCCCAACAAAACGGTTTAGCGGAACGCATGAATTGCACTATCATAGAGAAGGCAAGAAGCATGCTTTATTACAGGGGCATGTCAACGATTTGGTGGCGGGAGCTGTCAGCACTGCAGTCTATCTGGTGAACCGATCTGTAAACACTAAACGTAAGGACATAACCCTGTACGAAGTAAGTCTTAAAGAGAAACCACGAATGGAACACCCGCGTGTGTTTGAGTCCCAGGAATATGCCCACTTTGACAGCGCATAAAGGACGAAGCTCGGCCATAAGGGCTATAAGTGTATGCTTTCTGGATATGTTGAAAACGCAAAGGGGTATCATAAGTATGATTTGGAATCATCAGACATCGAACTGAAACGATCTGTTTGGATTGATGAGCGTGAAGTTAAAGGTTCATACGACACACCGTGTTCTAAAAAAGCAGCACTTACCCATGTTTTCAAGGCAACGAACGAAGAAGCGACTCATTTTCTTGCTGAGTGACGGCTGGTGACAGACGAACCCATAAACAGTGTCGAGGAGTCTACGCAAGATATTGAAATGGATGAGTTCGAATCAAAGCGTGATATTAATCTGGGGCAACTTTTAGCACTTGAAGATCGAAATCAATTGGGTTAGAGATGGTAAAATACCACTCTCTGCGAATAGTTGGGGAGAACCATTTGGCATTCGTCCAGGCACAGAGAGGTCGACGCGTCCTGGGGAGCCAACCTTTTTACTGTAAGTCGGCTTGGAGCTGGACGATGAAAATATAGCGGAAGAATGCAAAGGTTCATCTTCAAAGCGCCCAGGAATCGACGAAGATAGGATATTTGCCGAAGCAGTTATGCGGCAAGAACTGACGGGGCTTCTGACATCCAAAACACATACGCTGATGCAGCTGTGAATGATGAAGCCGTAGCATGGCGAGCAGCAATGAAAACGGAATAGTTATCACATGAATAGAACGGTACTTGGTCTAATGTATCGCGCAAAGCTGCTCGTCCAATCGGATGTCGATGGGGAGTGTGATGAGAACGGCCGAGACATTTGCAACAAGGCACGGCTTGTCGCAAAGTGGGTTAAAACAAAAGCACGGTGTTGATTTTCAAGACGTACTCTATTGTAACGAACAAGAATTCGATTCGGGTTGTCTTGACTGATTATGTCTCAGACGGATATGAAATGGAATAGTTGGATTCAGAGACTGCGTTTCTGAATAGTGAGCTAGGCGACAAAACTATATCAAGACCGTCTGGAACTCAGAGTACTGGAGATCATGTTTGCTGCTAAATAAGGCTATCTACGGGTTAGTAAAAGCCGCTAGCGCCTGAAATTGAGCGTATCATGACGTTTTCGTTTCAAATGGTTTTAAGTGTTGCGGTGTGGATTAGTGCGTGTATGTAAAGCTCTCTTATGGGCACGACTACTTTTGTCTGATGTGATAATTGCAGCCAAGACCCGCGCAGAGATCCGTGATGTGAAAGATGCTCTCAAGAGTGCTTCAAAATGAAGAAGCTTGATGACGCAAGCTTATATTGGGGATAGAAATTGATCACGACAGGAGAGCCAAATTGCTAATGATCAAGCAGATTTGTTACATTGACGATGTTACGCAACGAATCAGCCAGCAGAACGCCAAAACGGCCGATAATCCATGTGCCTTTAATCTCAAACTTTTCAACGAACAACCACCAGGAACCGATGCAGAAGCAACTGAAATGCAGTCGAAGCCATATCGCTCTCTCATCGGCGGTCTCATGTACTTTACAACATGTACTAGACCAAACATTGCCTACGTAGTTACGCAACTATAAAGATTGTTTGGAGAATCCCGGAATACAGCATTAGCGAGTCGCAATTCGTGTGCTAAGAAACTTGAAGTCAACGCACCTGCAAAAATTATATATGAAGAGGGGATCAGTACATTATGGTTGAATCATTTTGCGGACGCAGAGTGGGGAAGCAACATCGACGACATG